TAGCGCATAAGCCTTTGAAAGCAAGAACACACAGTCCGAGACCTGCTTTATTCGTATTATATGTACCATATCTCATCAAAATTATAAAGAGCTGTTTGAGCAGATAAAAGTGGTGGGTGAAAAATGTTGGCAGAATTTAAAGAGCATGCGGAAGATTATGATACGAAGATATAACCATCAGAAAAAGAAGAAATTTTACACATTAAGATCTTTATCGTGCGAGATTTTGTAGTCACTGAGAAACACTTGCTTCTTGACAGAATGTAGTGCAACTGTCACGTTTTTAGAGACAGCAGTTTATTTTCACAGAGTGTTTGGCGTCTGCACTTCAGTATTTCTTATTGTTCATACTCTCAAAGAGCTACAGTTGTAGAGATTGACATATTCGTAGTAAGTCAATAGCTTGAATACAGATATGAGAAGGAGACATTCATCAAATTGTGAAAATATTAGGTCATTCCGAAAGTAATTTCGCTTCTTTCAAACGGAGGCCACATGTGATGTAACCAAGATCTCTAGGAGATCTTGATAGCATTCGATGCAGAATTTCATCCTCTTTCTAGTGGTTACAAAATCAATGCAGAACATCCAATGAGCTCTCGGAAAATTACCAAAATCTGCGAACCATGCTTTTTGAGATACTCAGGTTTCACAATTTTTCTAAATTTTTATATCAGCTCCGAAGGAGTTCAAGTAAAGAATCGATAGGGCAAATCTTACAGAATATAAAATAATTTTTCCGCATGGGCTGAGTCCATTTTATTAGCACGAAAAGCCCATTTCGCGGGGACTTTCGTGGATATCATTCCAGAATTTAGTGTCTTGTAGAGTTGACCTCGCTCTCCGAAACCTACTAAGAGAAGTCCAGAGGGTTTGAGTCATGAGAATTACTCGGCCATTAATCACGAGCGATAAAATCGGGCAAATCTTTTTGGCACCATTCTTGTACATTTTCTGGTTATGAGCTGGCGCAGTCTTGTTGAAAGCACCAGCTTTTCCCTCTGAAGTGTGAAGCAGTCCAGGGCTGTAATACATCCTATAGTACAGTCTTCAGGCACAGATTTTTGTTTAGTTTAACGCCAGCACCGACCAAAAACCACTGGACATTTTCCATAAGATGTTAAGCTCCCTAAACCATCCAGTTTCAAAAGCTATATTTTGGTGGTGTCCCTGCTGGTGCACTCGCGTAATGATGACTTATTTACCTACGGATAAACGAAATCAATTCAAACTATAGTTGCGAATAGTACTTGATCTGCTTGACCAAAAAAACTTTCTGTTGATCTAATCAATATTTACCCCGTCAATGATCATGTCTGTCTCGGCGCCCGTAATTGTAGCGCACCCTGCATATGTCATAAGTATGCTTCGCCTTTCTTTCGTTTTTCGAACAAACACGTCGTACTTCCAATAACCGTTAAGTGAGATCTCTTTTTATCTTATTTGCAGGCGAAAGGGCAAACGGGCAAGAGAATTTCAAGGGTTGCAACTTGGATGGGTTTGAAGTGTAAGTTATGCACACAATTTACGTGCATCTGCATACACCCAAAGATATCTTCCCCTCTTCCCTCCCCTACCAATTTCCGCTACCAATTCACATCCCTACACTCGCCCCTCCCGGCCACCGACCCACATCGCCCCCCCCCCCCATTTTCACATTCTGGACAGCGGAATGGGCAAGAAAAGCAAAATAAAAAACTTACCTGACCTTATCTTTCCCCCCGCCCTTCCATCTTTGTTACACTAACATCATTTCGCACAACAAAACTTTGCAAAAAAATTCAGCAAAAGCAGAGCAAGATCCACTTTCCACTTGAAGCTTCTTTCCCGCCGAAGTTTCCATCTGTGTCCCCCGGATCGTTCTCATGCATATAATAAAAACTGGTGAGAAAGCAGTTTGAGTGCCTTATTTGAATAAAGGAAAGCATTCGTACAATTGTTGCGTATTGTAACAATTATAACACTTATAACAATTTATTACAAGAATCATACAATCACTTACCACAGATTCAACCAGAATACTCAGTCTTCATCACTCTTCATCACCTCAATTGAATTCAGTGTGTTTTCACCTGTAAACCGCTTGCAACTCTCTTCATCTCCTTTTTTTCTCGCTCTAAGCAAACTGAAGACACAACTGCATTAGAGAAACAGTCGCCTCGATAGATCGTGTAGCCTGAAAAAAGATGTCAGTGAGAACTTGTTTGTTGGGAAACAGAGAACACCAAAGTAAAGGTATCTTCTCAATGATACCTTTACTTCGGTGGTTTCTGTTTGCTCCCATTATTGAGCTCCTATTGTTTTCTTGATCACTGTCATTAACTCTCAAAACAGCTTTTCAAGATAATCATAACGTTGCTTTTGGAGATTCTCATTTTGCCGAAAATAACAACTCTTAAAAGTAAAGGAAGAACTTTTTTGAGATATACAGGGCTTATTAGCTACAGGATTAAGAGCACGTATCTCTGCTCCCGCGCGGCCGCTTGACCTGACTGCACTCTTTCGCAAACATGCTCTTTGATCAATTTCCCACCGCGAGTGTGAGAAAGGCGGAGCCTCAGTTGATTGGATATGATTAGAGAGCATGTTCGCGGAAGAGGTGCAGAGCCCCGAGCGTTGGAGATGCTGGTGCACCCAACACTGCGATTGATAAGCCCTGCAGATACTTATAAGATTTTGTCACTCTTGCAATCGGGCAAAAGGAAAACTATAAAGCATGAGAATGAAAATACGTAGCTAAAATGCATATCTTAAGAGAGTCCTTTGAAACAAAGCTCATATAGCTTGCATTCTGTACTCATAAACTTCGTCATTGTACCAACCAGAAATGAGAGCTAGAATCTAGAATCTAGAAATCTAGAAGGCATAAATAAAATCACAACCCTGGAAAAATAGCAGATCCTCTGATGTTCTAGAATGTCCGCAACATCTCGTTACAAAGATATGCACTCTGACCTCCGTTCACGTTATGTCACGGACTTTCTGGAATATTTAAGATTAGGATTTGCTAGCTGGCATAGCCGGCTCCGCAGGGCCCTGTCAAAACACTATGATACAGATCCCATTCTATCCCTGCACAACCTTTACCTGCACTTCTACATGTCAATTTCCTACCTTGTTTTGTTTTCGAAATCAGCATGCCCACTTACTCCCTGCGCCAACTCTGGCCCCTAGCTCAAACTTCGCAAAAAATCGATAAATTGATAAAAGTAATGGGTAGTTCCGAGAACTAATACTGTATACGTAATCGACATGCTCGATCACCCCTGTGCCAAATTCCGGCCAGGTCAAACTATGCAGAAAATGATATCGATTTTATCGATAAAAAGCGATAAACGTGAGATCGGTCGATAACGAAAAGTATCCTACGGCATCCGCCCCGCCCCGAAGTGTACGGCATCCGCCCCGCCCCGAAGTGTACGGCATCCGCCCCGCCCCAAAGTTTGGTCCGGATTGGCTTCGAAACAAAAATTTGTATTCGGAACATAAGTCCATACAGAAATACAGACATACAAACAGACATCAGCTTTTCATGCAAGATTACATCGCTTACCTTGATCATTCAGTCGCCTTCTCTGAAGTTCTTCTTGCATCTTGTTTCATAGCGTACAGATCCTCCCGCTCGTCATATGCTTCCTCTGACTGCTCCCAAAGAATGGAAATTGTGTTACGGAAATTTGCAATTTACAACATTTGCAGTATTCTTTTTATGCTGAGTTCTTTTCGAACAATTATTCCACTAGATGATTCAACTCCCCCTATGAAATAGTTGAAAGGTGGTGAGGTACACTGCATATCGTCTAGTCATTCGTGATTCTTTCAATGATTTCTTTTTGTTTCCTTGTTTATTTCAATTCAATTGCGTTTTTTCTTTCAATTCAATTGTGTATTTGAGAGCTAGTACTTCGCACTTCAACAGTTTGTGACGCTTAAAGAAGTTTTACTGAGAGATGTGAGTTCGCTGCCTCGCGTAGTGCGCAAGCTCAAATTTGAAGCTAGAGATGCCTCAATTGACATGTATGATGAAACAAGTAGAACAGGATCGCAAAAATATACGAGAGTTTCTGAACAGATTCGATGGAAATGTTTCGTTATATACATAATTGTGATTATTATACAAAGCGAGAAGGTCATGATTGTTACGTGACCTCCTAAAAGCTCACCTCGCCTCGCACTTCGTAATCTTTTGCAACATAGCAGGCGCAATATGGGCAAATAACCCCCAAATGAAATGTAGAGTTGCCATTACTGAAATTGCCCGAAGCGTGTCTGCTGAATACTTAAACGCTGACTTTGGTAAGTCATGGTCTTCAAAAGCTTTTATTCTATCTCACTGATTTGTTTCTTCCCTTCATTTCTTCGTTTTTATTTACGCAAGTTATTAGAGGAGTTGTATATAGCGCAGGCTAATGCGCGCACCCTCCCTCCCCCCCCCCCCCCTCCAAGGGCAGAGCGGTCCCCGAGAGTCTTTATAGGAGAGGACTCCTCTGCAGAATGTGTCGCAGCGTATACAGTGAGTGATTTTTTTTTTGTTTTAAGCTATAGAAGTCATGAAAACACTTTCAAATCAGGATAGAATTTAGGAGGAGTCGACGTACCGGACGTTGGTGTCGAAGCGGAATTCTCGGCTAGTTATTAATTACGCTTTTTGAGGGAACTTTTTATGAACGTCGGGAGTTTAGCATGCTGTACCATCGCCTCGTGGAGCCGCCCATTACTTCACTTTGAAGGCCTTTCATGGGCAATCTCCACCTGGACCAGGACGCAAAAGTAAAGGCCTCGAAAACGCGAGGAGGATCGCTCAACGAAGCCGCTCAGCCGATGTGAGCGCTCTACAAGCCAATGATTGCATTTTATGGTTATTGTATTTCATGAATTCGTAAAATACGAGATTGCAACCAGGGCCAACTTCCGCTTCGATTTCAATCGTCTCGTTAGGCACTTCTCAACTCACTGACTGGGAGATGATGGTTTGTCAAGCATACATTCATCTTTTTCTTATGTTGATCACAGGAATTAGATTGTCGAAGCAGCAAAAGGTGGCACAACTCCTGGAAGTAACGGAGAAGATGACACCAGCTAATCCAGACAGGACACTACTGCTACACAATTGCTTAGATATTTTTGGACTTTTCACCTCCATTCGCAAAGGTAGGTGTCCACTTTCTTGTGTATTTTTCCAATGTATTCATCTCAAAATAAACGGATTGTGCACTCAGAGGATGCACAGGAAAAGTGGCAAACTTCATCAGCAGCTCACTCCCCCCTCCCCCCCCCCCATATCGCTTCATATTGCTACTGTCGAATAAAGATTTCTGCAAAATGTTATATTTTTTCAGACAACTACTCCGCTTCAATCAGGGAATACGCTGTATGTGAACAAAGCAGCGGGGGAGACCGTGAGGAGGTGGAAGAACTCAAAGGTAAGTTGTTAAGTCTTTTGCAGCTATTACTTCATTGATATTTATTCGGATTTTGCGGATTATGCTCAGATTTAGATACGACGAACTGAGGATCGACACAGTCACCAGTTTGGAGGAATCTGAGTAAGTTAACTAATCAGCACACGTCCAAAACAAGAAATTTTTGGGCATTTTACGTGAGCCTGGGGAAAACTCGGCAGGACCGGGTAGCTCCTCGACGGCTTCACCCGGGAAAGGCACGATTGGAGGCCGGTATCATTCAAATGTTTGCAACTTGCACTGTAAGTTGCACTATTTTATTGACATCTGAGAGTAGAGATCACGTAAACCTCGATTTTACAGGCTCTGATGAAGACGAAATCGCCGAAACATCAGCCAATAAAGGATTGATAAAATCTTAGTTGTCGCTGAAACATGACATTCACTAATCTACAGCCTTTTTCTCTCTCTGCACGTGCACAAGTCAGTTCGCAGCACCCATATTTCTTGGCGACAAAAGACCACAAGCTCGGGCAAGACTGATACGAACTACTTGCAAGGCTATTGACCTTCTGACCAGTTTAGTTCAAAGAACTGCATAAGAAATAAAGAGTTCCCGCTTCTGATGATGTCAGAATGTTGGACCTATTGTCAGAGTTGTAGGGTATGATTGCAAAATTGCTGCCGAAGAGGAGGATGGAACCCCGACGTTCCTCCTCAAATTTAATCAACTGTCATAATGCCACGCCGCCAATTCATCCACTGTTGCGCAATCTCGCACATCTAGCATCGAGCGAGCAATTTTAGGAGGATCACACTCTTATATGTCGTTCCTGATGACCATTTTAGATATAGAAAGCTGATTGCAATCAGCCAATCCTGACCTTCCATCCTATGTACATCTTGTTGAGGAAGGCTACTTCGAGTCAAATACTTTCCCTGCTCTAAAATGCCTTGGAGAACTGCGTTTCTCCGGCCTTTCAGCAGAAATAAGCTCCCGTGTTCAAATGATATGAATATGTGCATTTGAGGCGACGTCTTCAAAGCTTAGAATATTGAAGGCCAAATGTCGAGCTTAATCATTCGAGTTGAAGCTTGTGCATCAATCTGCATCTACAGATTGATGCATAAGCTCAAATGTCTCTTCCGCTTCCCTATTCTAGTCTTAATGCAAGTGAAAAGCACACTAGAATGTATTATCAATATGTGTTTTACCACACTATCTCTCGTAAACATATGTACAGTGCCCGTCAAAGAAAATACAGTCACCAGAATAGATAAATTACATGGAACCATTCAATCGATCCATAACATTAAGCACAGTTTCGAAGTATACACCCGGAGCATATCAGTAAAGAGTCGGGGAGATCCCATATGGATATTGAAACTTATGTAAGCTCAACACAGCGTCAAAGCTACAGGACTATCTGGACTACTTAGCACATGAAAATATAAAAGCAGAGCCTTTTCTCATGAGTTCACATCAAAGATTCTATTTGAGTATCAGCATTTTGTTTACTCAATGTTCCGAGCCTCTTCATGTTAACGAATTGAATGGATTTGTTTGTGATGTAGATACAGAGCAGCAGAAGAAGCGCATAGATGAAGATCGGAATGACGACGTAGAGAAGTGGACTGGCAAAGAGCCAAACATCCGGATGAGAATCCTGATAGTTCTGGATCAGCAGCATGTACGTGGAAAGGTCAGCATAACTACCCAGAGAAATCTGAAATATGGACGCATGTGCTGCTGAAAGGATTAAATAGTGGAAAAAAATTTCAACTTTTCTTGCCATATAATATGACTATTATTTTTGAAGAGTTGGAGAGCATGGCAAACGGAATTTGCAGTCTGCATAACTGGAGCGGAATCAACTGTTACGGAAAATGCAGAAAAATGATTCCGCTGTGGTTCCACTTTCTTCCATGATTATACCGCAAAATGTACAGAAATATCGAGAGAAAATAGGCTGGCAAGAAGATTCATCGTTTTAGAAAACTTCAGGAAGACAATGAGTCTTCCGTTTCATATACATTATGTTACTAGCCGGTTAATTTGAACCTTTCTATTGTCACTTTCTAATCGCTTTTCTCGAAATTCGTAGCTCCCGTAGAGACGTTAAAGGCAGCGTCCGGGTCTGGACATATGGGGATCTCACGTGGATAGTGATTTTGGGGCCCTAACTAAGCCACTGCCCAGCCGGCAGCTCAGGTAGTGCTCTAACGGCTTAGATATTTTCTCGAAACTGGACCCCGCGATCGTATTTCGCATGGATTTATGGCGCAAAGCGTGGATCCTGGCGCGAAACTGCCATGAATCCATGCGAATACGATCGCGGGATCCAGTTTCTAGAGGAAAATCTCAGCCGTTAGAGCACTACCCGCACTGCCGCTTGGGCAGTGCCTCAGTTAGGGCCCCAAAGTACTTTCCACGTAAAATCCCCATAGGTCCAGATCTGCCTGGACGCTGCCTTTAACGTTATGAAAACTTGCTCTCTACAGTATCAGTAAAAATTCAAAACTAATAAATCATGTTACGGACTGTCCGAAATCCACTACAACTTTTCTAATTTTTAGCAACTAACTTCAAAAAGTAAAATCTGTGTAATTTTTTTCTGTTTTGATCTCTGACCCTGTTTTACAAAGCGCATGATTCCTCTTACAAATGCTAGATTTATGCAAAGTGATATAGTTTTGAGTTCATTTGAAAAAAGCACAGAACTATAGTGCCCAAATTGATGTTGTTGTATAATTTTATGAGTTTTGCGACCCAGTACAAAAAACTTGTAAACGTGCCCCTTTTTAACCCTATGATCCACAATTTTCCAAATTGTTCAAAGAAGATTGCGCTCTCACCTGTGATAGCATGAATGGCACGAGCAGCGTTGCATTGTTTGTATAGTTGCCGGCAAGGGCAAGAAAACATGGCACCAGCTGCAGCACACGACATGCCGTCAAAATAATGAACTTAGGTTGCCGAAACCAGTTCACTGGCTCCGTGGCCAGTATCAGACCTAAATAACAATTCATTAGAATGTCTGTGTTTACTCTGCCGAAGGGTAGAGTTCATAAGAGTAGTAAGACATGGCACACTTACCAACGCTGATTTCCTGTATCAATGCGATAATGATCATATTTGAAAGGTATTTCGCAGAGACTCCACCGTGACAGAAGCGATATTCGGCTGTGGAGTCAGACTAAAATGGAGTAAAATCACCAAAAAATCTGTATCCGATCAAAAATCACTGAAATCTGTTTATTTGGCTCAAACACTGCATTCAATCATTACACATATCTAGATTTTTATTTTTGCTACTTTTTGCTCACATTGGCCATAGATTGTGACTATCACAAAGGAGAAAAAGTTTATTGGGCATGGACATCTTGTTGACACAAATATTTTTTGCATTCAGTACTTTGCATTCAGTTTCCAAGTTAAGCATGCGAATTTTGTTATTTGATATACATTACAAACTTGTCTTTGTTTTTTACACCACTTTCTCACATGAAACTTCTTTTTATTTGAAATAAAAAAGTCAGACGAAGCTGAAGCAGCAAGTAGCGCACACAAACGTTTTTGCCTCAGAGACATTGCAGAGAAGGACGCACTTCAAAAAAATCAGATAAAAACTATTCTTCCGCAAAACAAGTCCTTCTAGATCTTGCGTACAATGAAAGTTTCTAAAAGCTCTTCATGGGTGGGTGAATGAACGTGATGCTGATTTTAGAGAGCCTTTAGCTGCAAGAAGTAATGCTTAATTACGGTAATACAAATTTTTTTTATCAGAACGCGTGAGCAGCAAAAAATTATGATCTTGGGGAGCACTTTGAAAATTCCGTTTCCATCAAATTGTTCTGCACTTCGATTGAATATCTACATTCCAATACTACATTATTCGAATTCATAACCAAACAGTCCACAATCAGACAGCACTCACCCTATTACTGCGGGAAATCGAATCTTGGCTAAGGTCTTGAGAAGTTGATGGACGCATCTTTTCAGCATCAAACATATCTTGATCCTGGAATGAGAACGAATTGCTTTTTGTGAAAGCTCTCGCTCGACATAAATCATACTTTTGGTCGAATGTACCAATGAAAACGTCTCGGTTTGTAGGTGTAGGGAATCGGATCGGTTTTTTCCATGACTGGAAATTTTTTGGGAGCTTGCCTGGAACTGAGATGCATAATATTTTTTTGTAGTGGGTAGCATTATGGTAAATCACGAGCAACAGATTAGATACACGACTTTGTAAAAAGAAAAACAAGCTTGTAAGCTTCTTATATCTGCAGGAAACTTGCAAGAAAGATGATGCAAGCAGCTAATCTTAGTTTGAGAGTGGAGCATTTGCGTCTCGAAAGACTGCTATAAATTGTATCGTACAGCGGTATGCTGAATGTGCTAATGGACGAACGCTTCGAAAGAAAAAACATTATGCATCTGCACTCTGGAATTCCAATATGCAAGCATTCCTGAGATCACCGTTCACATTTGCTTTTTATCCCAAAAATAGCGTGTATAAGGTACGAATTTTACAGCTTGAAAATTTTAGGTCAAGCTAGAAGGCAGATGCATGGGGTATAAAAAATTCACAGTACTCAAGTATAAGCATCTATTCAGGATTTCTGCAACTGAATTAGTACTGGATTACGGAATAATAATCAGAAAAATTCTGTTGAATATTAAAAAAGAAACGATCCTTTCTTCTGCAACAAACACAACATCTTCAGGATTAGAATTGAAAACTAACGCACCATACGAAAAAAGTTTGTTTAGTTTGTTTTCCTACAAATAGTATGCTTTATATGAAAATGATGAGCCTCACTAAAGATAACGAGTCTTTCCAGCAATGTATACATTTGCAGAGCGCTTACTTCACGCGGATAAAACATGAAAGCTGTGAGAGCCTAAGAAGCTGTGAAATGGCCTTCTGCTGCATTTCACATGTAACGAATATTTTTGAACAATTAAGAACGAAAAACCATGGAAACAGATCTAATGAGAATATTCCGCGGCACAAAAATAGCACGGCTTGGAAGTTGTTGCTTTACAGCTTCACTGGAAGTTACTGTCAAGGTATTCTACAGAAGTTTTGATTTCTAGAACCATTCGGGGCCAGATGATTGTAAAATATTGTAGAAAGCGTTCAATAAAGCGAGGTTTCAAGATACCAAGATAATAAGGTTGATTTATGAGCTTGCACCAGAACTTTTCCAAAATCGTAGAGTTAAATATAATATAAAAGAACACAAAATGACAGAGAATGAAACTCAAACCGGCTTCTATTTCGAAAAATAGGTAGCTAAAAATGCTGAAAGGTCCAATAGAATCTAGTTTCAATTCTGAATTTGGCTCTCATAACCTGTCCTTGCTAATTCAGAAATTGTGCTAACCGAATTTTTTAAAATGCATATGATTTGAACCTTATTTTTTGACATTCAGATATCATTCGAATAAATTTTTAGTACACTAGGAATAATTTACAGCTTATATTGTAGATAACAATAATTTTGAACATATCAGAACAAATCTTCTCTTGATTTTTGATTAAGTCCTGGGGATCATATGATAGACAAAAAATATTGTGTGCGCTTTCAAATCTGAGGCAAATACAAACATTAATCTAATCGTTTTTGATTGAGTTTAGATTTTTTCATTAAACTTTTTGAAAATGTTCTATAACACGAGAATCTTTGATTACAAATTAAACACTATTGCTTTATCCTGCAAGTTAAGGCTCTCCAAATATCTCAGTTCTAAGAAAAATGAGACTGAATAGTAGCGGTGAAGCACCCTTCTCGAGTAACGAACGATTAAGACGATTTTAAACAGGCCATAAACGTCACTTGTGAACATTTGAACGACTTGAACGACTAGAACAAGTGCGATACCAGCCAAATCTTTCCTTTTATATACACACCTCGTAAAATGCGATGATTTACTGACCACTTTGTGAGACTGCACCGAGAACTTTCTAATCAAATCTCAAAGTTCGCGGTGGCTTGTTTGGCAGGCGTGAGAGATAAATGTGAATTCATAAATCACCATACAATTACGTGAAATTTTTCGGAATCAAAAACGAAAACATTAATAACATTTTTAGTTCAGAACCCGTCTGTCACTTCAGAGACCGCGCGACATTTTTAGAAGATAGATGGTTACATAGGCAGATTTCATTGACTATACAAAAAAAAGCATTCATCGGCAAGTCCAGGTTGTACGATTCATATAGATGCTTCAACGAAGCAATCCTTTTCCATCTAGGCTATGGAAGAAAAGAATTGAGCGGATGTAACGGTGCCACATCAGGACTCTGCACGAGCTGGCACCAAAGAAATTTCAAAACGAAATCCCTTGTGATCTTGAAAGTTTCGTGCAAAGTCCCCTTTGGCCCCAAACCCCTAATATAATTTACCCTAAAAAACGAAACGTCCACTGAAACACCCTGTTTCGCGTCGCTTTGTGCATCGCTTTCGGCCACAAAAGCGATATCCCCTTTGCTTTTTGTCCCAAAAACGATATTTAGCTTGACCGGTGCAAGTGTGGTATTACGAGCAGTTATTTCATATCGATCAATAAATTGATCTACTTTGATATTCGTACTGATATACTTTGATAGTAAGGAACTTCCGAAAATTCGGCTTCAAGCCAGTTTTCTTGCAGAAACGTAGCTCTAACGGTAGCTATGTGACCAACAATACCTTGAGTGTAAAGATCCAAGAATAGTTGCAATTTGTCTTGCGCTCTCACAAAGAAAAAATTCAAACATGTAGGTTAATCATTGATTAAAGGGGCCAATATTCCGTATACATTATGGAATCTCGGGCTAGATTCCAAATCTGAAAAAGCCGATTTTTGGTAAAAGCTGATGCATTTCGAGCGATTCCAAGGGATGAATGAAAGAAATGATTGTTTTTCCAAGTTCGTTAGGGGAGAAAATAAAGTATTAATAGGAAAAGGATCTGCTTAGTGAAAGCCCTGCCATGAATGCCGCAGGAACATGCATCAAAAAAGTCATGAATTCTGTTTACCGCAATCAGAAATGTTCACCCAAACATTCAAATTTTGCGGGAACTCGGACGTATCTTATCAGTTGTAGCGAACTCTAGAGAATTTAAAAAATAATGGTAATTATAAAGCTGATTTCAGCTATTACAGGGCTGGTCTGAATATGAGAACTTGTTCCGGTTTAATCGGTAGGGGCTGTGCGTTCTATGAATTAGCGAGTTTCCGTAGTTTTGAGGATATACGGGAATATTCTCACAATCAGTGGGAACAATCTAGCTATCGTCTGCTCAAAATCCTTGATCTTGAGCTAATGCGATATAATCTTCTATAAATAACCACCATGATTGTGTTGAGGTCTTACAAGCGATAATGCGTCAATTTTTTTTGTGGCTACTCTCGAATCTGCGCGGACAAACGCTCTCATTTTTGAGCCGCACTCAAGATATCAGACATGTTTCATTGTTGTTCCATCGAGCCTGAGATACTAGAATCTAATCATTCCACCTAAGCATGCATAAACATTGCTCTAAACTGTCGAGCTTAACTGTAGTCACTAAAGCAGAATACCGAAATTACTGCGACGCTTTCTTGCACAGGTACCGTATGCTACAGTCAGCGCGCTTAGTGATGCGACCTTGGCTTTGTCGCCGATTTTTTGACGGAAGTCTGAGCGGAACAAACATCGCGACAAAATCAGAGGCAGTAAAGTTCTGCAGCAGTCTTGCTACTAAAAGTGAATGAGTCAAGAGGAAAGCTCACATCAAATGCTGTAATAGTTAGTAGAGGTATCGAACAATTCAACTAGATGCTTGATTTCAGAAAAAAAACCACAAAATTTAGGAAGATCCGCAAGGATATAAGCGAGAGACTAAGCTTACCCAGTTGATGGAAATCTCTCAACCCAAAAGCTCATAAATCCGCAGTTTCCATTTTCTAGTTTTGTTCTTTGACGTGAAGCTAAAAATATTCTTACTGTTAGAGATTGTAAAGTACGCTCGCTCTATGAATTTGGCTACTCTTCAAGATAAACCTGTTCTGAGGTCGACAAAATTTCAGAGCAGAGGTCATCACGTAATGGATACTGTCAAACGAGCACCCGTCAGACCACCGAGGGGTTATGGACGTCACTACTTGTTACAATGGAAGTTTGATGCGTAAGCTGAGACATTCTTGAAGGAGAAAGTAAAGGAAGTAACATTTAGTTCACTGCTGTAATTGCTTTGAATGGGAAAATAAAAAAGACCTTCATAAGAGGGAATTTTGCAATTTTGATTCATCCCTAGCAAAAGCAAATACAAACTTTTCCAATAAGCAAGTATCACATTTCAATATCGCATAGGTTCTCGCTCCTCAAGCGCTCAAATCTTCGGTCTCGGTACACGCCAAATGCCCTAAGGGGCATTAATAATTCGTATCAATCTTGTGGACCATAAATCAAGGATTATTGCTTCTGCAATGGTAGAAAAGCAATGAATGCAATAGAATTTGTGCAGATTGCTTGCAAATGATTTACGCAGATTTTTATGAGTGTCGTTGCAGCCAGACTCAATGGCACGAGTGGTTTTCGTTAACAGAAGCAAAGCAGGCCAAGATTCGGGTGGCGGGGGGGGGGAGGGGGGGAGAGGGGGTTGGAGGGTAAAGTGATTTTAAAGCTAGAGATGAATGTGCAGCTCCTCAGCGCTAGGACTGGTTTTACTTTATGTATGTTTGTTTTATAATTATTGATGATGTAATATAAAGTCCACATAATATTCCAAACGTTCCTAAAAAACCACGGATATTTTGGAGAAAAACTACGCCACGTCATTCAGCTTTCGTCACTCCACTCGTTTCTCCCGCAGTTTTGAAAATGGGGCTGAAAGAACGTTCATGCCGAAAAACCTATTCCATTTTGGGCATTAAGTTTGACGACCACCTATGGCTTATAAAAAAATTACGTAGCGCCGTTGATTGATCGCCGATATTTGCTCAACGCAGTCTAGACATAAATTTTTAAAGAATTTACTTGAGGTAGACTTTAAAACTTCCAAACTCAAAGCGCAATTTTGAGACAGGAAATATCTTAAGCCACATAGGATGAGTGCTAACTACAAAACTTTGAGCTGTTTGCAATTAGATTGATCAGAAAGTGGATTGCTTTACAGTCAGTGCTGTTCCTCCAAATATCCT